TCATGAGACATGACCCATTCTCATAAGAAAAGATATTAAATACCCACTCTGGCTATTAGAGTTACCAAACAAGAACTTTAAAGCAGTTGTTATCCCTATGACCAGTGAGGAAAAGGAAAATACATGAAAAGATAGGAAATCCCAGGAGAGAAAATATAAAAACAAATCAAATGGAAATTTTAGAACTAAAAAATACAGTATTTGAAATTATAAAAGATATCAGATGGGTTTAGTAGACTGGAGATGACAGAGGGAAGAATCAGTGAATTTGAAGATAGATCAAAAGAAATGATCAAACTTAAGAGAGAAAAAAGACTGAAAAAATGAACAGACCCAAGATCATGTGGAACAATAGTGAATGATCTAACCTATGTGAAATTGACTTTCAGAAGGATACAGAGAGCAAATACAGCAGAAAAGGTATTTGAAGAAATAATGTCCAAAGTTCTCCCAATTTAGCAAAAGACATAAATTTACAGATTAAGGAAGCTTAGTGAACCCCAAACTAGATAAATATGAAGAAAATGACATGTAGGCATATCATAATCAAACTATTGAAGAGTAAAGATACAGAGAAAGTCATGAAAACAATCAGGAAAAACCATACAGGAAAACAATTCAAATGACCACATTCTTCTCATACCTCTGGTTTCCATCACACCACAGGAATGAATGAAGAGCCGCAGAAATGGTAAATATCTGGATAAATGTAAAAGACTTATTTTTCCTCTTAAAAATTTTAAAATACATATGACTGTTTAAAACAAAAACTATAATTTTTTTCTTATGGAGTTTATAATATATTTGGTTGTAAAACAAATAACTAGAGCATAAAGGGTGTTGGTGGAGTGGGGGCGGGTGTAAATTGACTTCTACAGTCACAGGTTTCTACGGTATTACATGGAATGATACTGACTCTAAGTAGAGTGGGAAAAGCTAAGGATGTATATGTAATCAAGAGCAACCACTAAAAAACAATACATAGAGGTATAACTAAAAAGCCAATAGATAAATAAAATACATTCAAACAATCCCAGAGATGGCTGGAAAGGGAAAAGAGAAAATAAAGACAACAAACAGAAAACAAAATTCATGGTCTCCGAGAAATAGGACTAGATTTGGGGTTAGCTCTCTCATAACTTTCTGTCAGTAGGGGAAGGGAGGAGCAAGGCTACAACTGAGTAGAAGTTTATGTCAGGAGGGTGATGGAGATTATACTTGGAATGCTTACAACTAGAGAAGAAATGGAAAGAGGAGAGCTGCAAGACTTGTCAGAGTTCTGAGGCTTCCCAATACAGACGCATGTTAAGCAGACACCAGATTTCCTTACTACACTTGGTTGTCTCCCAAATATGGATTTTTTGAGACACTATTCCAAACTATTTGTTTTTCAAACCTTAAAACTCAATCCAAGGGAGGTGAGTGGGGGAGATGGGTGAAACGGGTGATGGGGATTAAGGAGTACACTTGTGATGAGCACCGGCTGTTGTACGGAAGTGTTCAATCACTATATTGTACATTTAAAACTACTATTACACCGTATGTTAACTGGAACTTAAATAAAAACTTAAAAAAAACTCAATCCCCAACCTGTACACCCCATACACACCTTTGCTTTCTGTTCCATCCCAAAGAGCTCTCTGCACATAGACCTTTGGGCCTATACACTCTGCCTTCTTCCTAGAAGGCCTCAAGGATGGTCTTGTCCAGGTGCTTGGTCTTGAACCTTGTTTCAACCTCATTTGGACCCTGACTTTGGCTTCCCCTTGTACTCATGGTATTTATCTCTATTAACTATTCACCTGGGTGTAGCCCCCCACAATTCTGCTGATTTGTGGTCTGGCTCCCCGTCTTGGCTCTTTCTGGCTTTCTCCTGTCTGCGGCTACCCCACAATTCGACAGAAGAGACTGAGGCACCAGAGAAGGAGCCAGTGAACAGGAAGAGAGCCAAGATTCTGGAGCGAGGACCAGGAGTAGAAGCGAGGCCTCTGAGGAGCTGGAAAGTATGCAAACTAAATCTCTATACAAAGTGGTTAATTTATACATTATTCTTTAGGCACACTTGGAGACTAAAATTCCACAAGATGGCGACATTTTCCTACAAAATTAATGCAAGCAGTCCCCTCAAGACTGAAGTAATTTCTTTTTTTTTTTTTTAAAGATTTTATTTATTTATTTGAGACAGAGAGAATGAGAGAGACAGAGAGCACATGAGAGGGGGGAGGGTCAGAGGGAGAAGCAGGCTCCCCGCCAAGCAGGGAGCCCGATGCGGGACTCGATCCCGGGACTCCAGGATCATGACCTGAGCCGAAGGCAGTCGCTTAACCAACTGAGCCACCCAGGCACCCAAGACTGAAGTAATTTCTAACGTTAGAAATGTGTTACCTGCTGCAAAAAATTCAGACAGTGAGGGCAATGATTTTTGTTAAGGAGGAGAAGACAAACCTGGGAGGGGCTTTATTTGCATACGGTTCCCCAATTAGTTGTGAAAAGGTGAGTCATGGAGCTGCACATTCTATACAAAAGGCAAATGATGAAAAGGCCACTGGTTCTGTTCATGAAAGCAAGCTCCAGGGTCTATGTAGAGTCAGAATGGATTTGAGTCAGGGTGTCACATTAACTGACCATAGCAATCACACTGTATGATCCTTGAGATGCTACATTTTGTTTAGTCTTTCTTTGTCTGAGGCAGTAGCAGGACATAACATAAAATTCTCATCAGAGGAGTAAAAAAAAAATCAATACATAGTTTTCATCTTTGATTCATCAAAAATTTCAGAAATTATCTTCTCAAAGTCAGTTTGTATAAATTTTATTGTGTGGGGATACATAGCCAATTTTGTAAAAGACTAAGTCTTAGGAGAGCTAACTTACAAAAACCTACTTAATTTATAAGATAGAATATTGAATTTTTGAATGAAAAATAGTAAGAAATCCCACCATTCTAATGTTAACAAATAGAAAAATTATAAATTAAGAACATTTAAAATTTATCCTGAAAACTGATTCTCTTAAGAAAAAGGAGGTTTAACTAAAAAATAGCAAAGAGGGAGAAATTAAAGTATTATTAATTCAGGAAACTAGATATTGTTAATTTTTTTCCATTTTACAAAAAAAACCTAGGTTCAGAGAGATTAAGAAACTTGCTCAAAGTTATACAACAGCAACAAAACAACTGTTGAGTGCCTACTATGTGTCAGCACTATGTGAGGCACTGGGGAGCCAGCAGTGAACAAAGTCAGCAAGTACTAGAGAAAGGATACCAGTTTAGGTCAGCTCAACCCCAAAGTCTGGACTTTTTTGGTAGTATGTTGCTGAGACATGTGGGGTGATTTTTTAAAAAAATTTCATTTATTTATTTGACAGAGAGAGAGAGAACACGCAAGCAGGGGGAGCAGCAGAGGGAACGGGAGAAACAGGCTCCCAGCTGAGCAGGGAGCCCGATGTGGGACTTGATCCCAGGACTCTGAGATCATGACCTGAGCCGAAGGCAGACGCTTAACGACTGAGCCACCCAGGCACCCCTATGAGATGATTCTTAAGGGGACCACTTGGGATTCCCAAGGGCTAAAGGTAGTAACTATGGTTGAGCCCAGGTTAGGATGTCTGGATTGTTTTTTTTTGTTGTTTTTTGTTTTTTTAATCCTAAACATCAGCATGACTCCTTGAACAGAGTAGAATTTCAGAACATTGCTTGTTCAGGGAATGAACAGTAGAATGAGGCCAGAAACTTCTGTCAATTTTGTTCATGGCTGAACCCCCCGTGACTGAATAGTGTCCGGCATGCAGTGAGTGCTCAATTAAGGTTTGCTGATGGACCGGCCGACGGGCTGGATGGATAAGTGAAGATTAAGGCAAATAATGGAGGGTTCTTGTTCCTTAGATGGTGCCAGAACGTTCTCAGTCTAATGGTTTTAGATCTACTTTTGGTTGTAGACACTTTGTTTGGACAAAGAAACAATTGTTATGGCCTCTATTCTGCAATGTTTTGACTCCCAGTTACGGTTGCTCTGTTATCAGCAGTCCTCTGTACTTAAGTCCAGCACATACATACCAGGGGGAGACATGGTTCCATGTGTAGCAAGTCCTATTTCCTGGATTCCTCTTCTCTCCTTCCCCTTGTTGGGTTGAATATTTTTATATGGTTGGAAATCAGATCACAGGAGAGTCAGTTTTGAAAAGATGGTACAGGGTGCTTTAGGCCAGAAGGAAATGGCAGAAGGCAGGAACCATCTTATTGTTTGCCTTGGTTACAGGGATTTACTTGTAAGCTGACTGTATAAATATGAGCCTCAGGTAACTTCTTAGAACTAGCATGTCTAGTCACACCTCCTCTTTAAATTCTGCACCCCTGAGTAAGCTTGGCTATTGCGTTCGTGTCAGCTAGGTCATTTCGGGAACAGCTCCTCTCCAAACAAAACAAAATCCACGATCTTCAAGGTTTATCTTTTTGAAAAATCAGCAGATAGAGAAAAGGAGCTTGTACTGAGTGTCCTGCACAATATATAAGTCTGAGAGTTCACAGGCTCTGCCTCGTTCCATTCTTTATCTCAACATAATCTTTATTTTAGGTCCAGCACAGCTTCACAGACTCCCTGTCTAGACCTCAATCCCAGACTCCCAGACTGTCTCCCTGGGGCACGGGCAGCAAGTATGAAAGGCAAAAATGCAAATCCAAAAGAAGCATAGTTTAATGTAGTATTATATTTTGAATTTGATTATTTAACCTTCTTTAGTGGTTTTCCTTCTTATAAAAATGTTCACTTTTCTGATTATAAAAATAATGAAGGGTCACTGTAAACAATTATGGAATATCAAAAAATATAAAGAAAAAAGTGATATATAATCTTACTACTCAAACATAAACTCTGTGTACTTCCTTCAAGACTTCTTCTAAGCATCTATTTCATACTGTTGATATGTAAAAATATATAGAATATATAAATATGATATTATGGATATTCTGCCTTTTTAAAAAAGCAACCATTTTATTTACTTACCTCCCCTTTATGTCTTTTTTCTTTCTCTGCTAGAAGTTCAGCCCTTCTTTTAGAAATCATAGCATCCTGTTATAGAAAGAGACATTTAAACATTTTAATGGATAATGATAAAATTACTTTTTATGTATTAGTATATATATTTTTTCCCAAAGTGGGACTGGCATTTGGAGGAAAGGATGGTAAACTTTCCAGAAAAGCTCATGATGGTGGTAATTATGCTACTTCATCCTGTCCCTCTGGAACTTCTCATTAGCTATTTCCCTCCAGAGGGATAAACAGCACATGGGGGCAGCTATTCTTTCTACAAACGTTAGAACACCTTTTCAAATTTATTATTTATTTGGTTGCTTTGGTAAAGAGGTAGATTATGTACATGGAGAAATAGGGAAATACTTGGAAGCAATTTGTTGAAAATGTTTGATAATCTTTTATCATACTAATAAAATACAGCCTGATAACATATTAAATAATTTAAGTCATAGTATCTCTCAGAGTTGGAGTTAATTGATTAGCTTATTTATTTACAAATAGCTCAATGCGTCCAATCTTGGTTTTGTTTTTTTTGTTTTGTTTTTGGAAACTCTTACTAATAACAAAATACATTTCCCTGTACCTTCCTCCTACCAATAATAGTTCCTCCCCTGTGGCCATTTGGAACACCTACAAGCTCTCTTCAGCATGAAAGCCCCTCACATTATTTAACACTGTTCTCATGTCCTATCTTTGTCTTCCTAGATCCAGATTTGAAAGTCTCAATCTTTGTGCCCTAGTCTAGATCTATAGATTTGCCCTTTCAGGACATGTCTTATAAATGGAATGAAACATATAGTATGTACTATTTTTTTTTTAACCTGGCTTCTTCCATTAAGCATAATGATTTTCATCCATGTTGTAGTGTGTTATCAATAGTTTGTTCTTTTTAAATACTGAATAGTATCCATTTTATGGATATACCACATATTCATTCATTCATCCAGCTTTATAAAATTGTAAGATATTTAAAGTGTATCTTGTGACAATTTGATATAGATATACATTGTGAAAGGACTCCTTCCATTTAATTAATGAACACACCCATCACCTCAATATTTATCTTTTTTTTTTTTTTGGTGACAACATTTAAGTTCTATTCTCTTAGCAAATTTTGATTATACAGTATGATGTTATCAAAGATAGTCACCATGTTATACATTAGACCCTCAGATCTTACTCATTTTATAGCTGAAAGTTTGTCCCTTTTACCACCTTCTCTCTATTTCTCCCACCCCTCAGTCCCTGGCAACCACTTTTCTACTCTCTGTTTCTATGAGTTTGAATTTTCTTTAGATTCCACATACAAATGATACCATGTACTATTTGTCTTCCCCTGTCTGGTTAATTTCACTGAGCTTAATATCCTCAAGGTCCATCCATGTTGCAAAAGGCAGGATTTCCTTCTTTCTCATGGCTGAATAATGTCCCATTGTACATATAAACACAACATCTTTTTTATCCATTCATCCATTGATATGTTGCTTCCATATTTTGGCTATTGTAAATGCTACTGCAATGAACACGAGAGTGCAGATATCTCGTCCATATCCTGTTTTCATTTCCTTTGGATATATACCCAGAAGTAGGATTGCTGGATCATATGGTAGTTGTATTTTAAAATTTTTGAGAAACTTCCATACTATTTTCCTCAGTGATTGCACCAGTTTACATTCCCACCAAAAGTGCAAAGGGTTTCCTTTTCTCCACAGTCCAGCCAACTTTTGTTATCTCTTGTCTTTTGATGACAGACGTTCTAACAAGTGTAAAGTGATATCTCATTGTGGTTTTGATTTGCATTTCCCTGATGATTAGTGATACCGAGCACTTTTTCATGTACCTATTGACCATTTGTATGTTTTCTTTGGAAAAATATTTATTCAGATCCTCTGAATTTTTTTCAGATTTTTAATCTATTTTTTAATCAGATTTTTTTTTTTTTGCTATTGAGTTGTATAAGTTCTTCATATTTTGTGGATTTTAACCCCTAATCAGATGCAAATCAGATATGATTTGCAAATATTTTCTCTCACCCAGTAGAATAACTTTTCATTTCCTTGATGGCTTTCTTTGTTATGCAAAAGCCTTTTAGTTTGATGTAGTCCCCATTTGGTGACTTTTGCTCTTGGTGTCAAATCTAAAAAAATAATTGCCAAGACTAATGTCAAGGAGTTTACCCCCTAAGTTTTCTTTTAGAAGATTTATGGTTTCAGGTCTTATGTTCAAATCTTTAATCCATTTTGAGTTGATTTTTATGGATAGTATAGGATAGGGGCCCAGTTTCATTCTCTTGCATGTAGCAGTCCAATTTTCCCAGCATTTACTGAAGAGACTATCTGTCCTCCATCATATATCTTTGGCTTCTTTCTTGTAAATTAATTGACAATATAGGCATGAGGTTATTTCTGTGCTCTGTGTTCTGTTCCATTCATCTATGTGTCTAGTCTGCTATTGAACCTCTCTATTGAATTTTTTCAGTTCAGTTATTGTATTCTTCAGCTCTGTGATTTCTCTTTGGTACTTTCTTATATTTTCTATCTCTTTCTTGAAATTCTTACTTTGTTTATGCATTGTTCTCCTGACACTGTGAGCATCTTAGGAACATTATTTTGAACTCTTTATCAGGTAAATCACTTATCTTTGTTTCAGTAAGGTCTATTTCTGGAGTTTTTGTTTGAAACATATTCCTCATCTCTTTCATTTTCTTTGACTTTGTGTTGGTTTCTGCACATTAGGTGAAGAAGCCACAACTCCTAGTCTTCACAGAGTAGTCTTGTGTAGGAGATGAACCTTATCAATCAGCCTGGACTGAGTTTTTGGCTGTCTCTCAAACCTTTGTGATTGTCCAAGCTACTTTCTTTGTTCTCAGTGGCTCCCAGTCATTGAGCATGTGCCACAACCTGTCAGTGTCCCAAAGGGGAGGATCACACACTGCTTAGACAGATTGGAAGCTGGACTCTCAGACAGCAACTGTTTTGATGTGGGTGATACGGGTATTTTCTCGTTTGTCCAATGTGTACAGGTTGCTCAGCTAGTTTCTGGATTTCTTTCAGAGGGAATTACTTCATGTGTAGCTGTGTGTGTGGGAGGAGATGAATTCAGGAGGCTCTTATATCGCCATCTTGGGTGGGATCCCAGGGTACCCTATCTACCACATTTCATTTATCCATTCATCAGTTGATGGATATTGTGTGGTTTTCACTTTTTGGCTGTTATGAACATTCATATATAAATCTTTATGTGGATCTGTTTTCATTTCTGTTAGATAGGTTCCTAGAAGTGGAATTGCTGGATTCCCTATGACACTTTTGAACATTTTATGTAATACTCCTCAGATTTCAGTTTTAGAAAAGATGTCCTAAACTAATACCTGGATCTTGATGGTGTCATCATTCCAGGAACTAGTGAAAAAGCCACTGAAAAGTTTAATTCTTTATGTTGCCGCTCCCACTTTGCTCCTGTGTCTGGTATAGGGATACTTTAGTGCTGCCACTATCTTTAATTTTATTTGCCTTGGAGAGAAAAGCATTAATGTATTGCAAATCACATAGGCCTCAAATAATTTTTAAATGTTTAATTGTAAATAATATTTGATTAAAAGTGTTTTCATATTGACTGTATTATTAAAATCAGAAAACTACATTTTTGCAAAGACCATTATAATTTGAATAGATACTTAACAAATTTACTTCCATATTTTTTTACTGGATGCATACCTTGATTTTTGCCTTCAATTCTTTGATGAGTTTTTTCCTTTCTAATTTTTTCTTTTGTTTCTGTTTCCACTTTTCAATTTGGGAAGGAAGGAGTCGATCAGAAATATCTTGATCATCAACTTGTATAAAAACAGCAGCATCTGGGAAAAATCCACGTTCCCCCAGAAACAGAGCCTCCTCAGGATATCGTGGGAAACCATCTAATATAAAACCTGTGGAACTTGGTAGAAATTTCATAATTTATTTGCTTACAATGTTATAAATATTGATTTAAAATGAAAAAATATTAATAAATCACAACTTTATATAAGATGTGCAATGAATAGTTTTAAAAGTTTACTGTGGTATCTTTTATTTCTTGTAATATTTCTACTTGTGTAAACATGGTGTGTCTTCTCCCAAATGTATTGAATTAGATTAAAATGATAATATTTTATACTTACACTTATATTATAGATAAGTTCTCCTAAATTTAGTCTTAGTATTTGATGAAAAATTAAGAGAAAATAAGTTCTCTGCTTGGGAGGAATGCCCAGCCTTATGACTGTGTCACCGTTATGTAAAGGTGGGTTTGGCCAGCCCACCTCTTGTGGGAATCTACCTTTGCATGGTTTTTCTTCTAGTGATACTTCCTTTCATGAAACAGTTTGTACCCTCTTCCCTGGGTCCCCTTATGATCAATGACAATGACTAATGTATGCATACTGGCTCATATGTGTAAGATGATTATGTTCAAATAGAATTATAAAACTTGCCCAGGTATGATGAAACTATAAGGATCAGAAAGATAACTGGAATGTGACTACATTTTTATTATTAAACAATCAGGCTTTATGAACTTGGTTTTATTTATTTGAAAGAGTTAATATTGGGGTGCCTGGGTGGCTCAGATGGTTAAGTGTCTGCCTTCGGCTCAGGTCATGATCCCAGGGTCCTGGGATCGAGCCCTGCATTGGGCTCCCTGCTTGGCGGGGAGCCTGCTTCTCCCTCTCCCTCTACTGTTCCCCCTGCTTGTGCTCTCTCACTCTCTCTATCAAATAAATAAATAAAATCTTAAAAAAAAAAGAAAGAGTCAATATTGGTTCCCTTTTGAATGAGAATTTATCCTGTTTATCTAAAATTTGGCTTGTTTTAGGTATTTACATTTAAACATATGTTTTCTTCCTCATAGGACTTTTATGAAGATTTGACAGTTTGAGGCCTTATCTGACATTTTAAAATATTTCCAATCATATTAAGTGGGCAAATTTTTGTATTTTGGCTGTAAGATGTATGCCTTTTTCTTTAGAGATGCCTTCAGCATAGTCTCTTCTGTGAGGAACAATTTCATCCCTACTGTTCCAGCCGTGCCTTCTTTGTCAATGACTTCTAAATCTCTACCTCTATACCCAACTTCTCTTTTGAGTTTCATTTTTTTTTTTAAAGATTTTATTTATTTATTTGACAGAGAGAGAGAGAGAGATCACAAGCAGGCAGACAGGCAGGCAGAGGGAGAGGGAGAAGCAGGCTTCCTGAGCACAGAGCCCGATGTGGGGTTCGATCCCAGGACCCTGGGTTCATGACCTGAGCCGAAAGCAGATGCTTAACCATCTGAGCCACCCAGGCGTCCCTTCTCTTTTGAGTTTCAATTCAGAATTTTCATGAAGCTGCTTAGTTTCTTCATTGACGTGCCCTTCAGGAATTATATATGCATCATACTATCAAAAATCAGACTCATTGTTACCCTTCCACACTGCTCTTGCTTCTGACTCACTGGTATTCAGGTGCCAAACTTCAGAGACACTTGGACTGCCCCCCCAACCCCCTCTTGCTTCTCACATATAAGAGCTAAACCCTGGCATGTCCTCTTCTGTACCCACATTTCCATTTCTACCATTACACCTTAGTTCACCTTATTATATCTTATATATCTATACCTATATAGATATAGATATTGTATTATATCTCTCCAGGACTCATGAAATAGCCCTTTAAAAATGTGTTGATTTTTTTCCCTGATTATAAAAGCAACAAATCTTACTTTAGAAAAATTGGAAAAGAGAGAAAAACATGAAAAAGGGCAAGATTATCCATAATCTCATATCCTAGAGATTACTGACATTTTGTTTTGTTTCTTTCCAGCTTGTTCCTTATGTGTCATCTTGCTATTATATTATAAATAACTTTGTATCTTTTTAAACTTAATGTTATATAATAACATTGCTCACGCTATTACAAATTCTTCATTTTAATACATTTTAATGGTTGCATAATACTTAGCTATTTTATTTAGGCTTTTTACAATTTCAATTTTTACTCTTTTTTTTTTTTCTTTAGAGAGAGAGAGCACAAGCAGGGGAAGAGGGAGAAACAGACTCCCCGCTGAGCAGGGAGCCCAACGTTGGGCTCAATCCCAGGACCCTGAGACCATGACCCGAGCTGAAGGCAGACGCCCAACCGACTGAGCCACCCAGGTGCCCCTCACTTTTTTATTTTTAATTCTTCAATTCATACGCTTTTTTTAAAAAAATAATTTAATGTATGGTGTGAGGTCAGGAGCTAAATTAATGAAGAACAACCCATGACTACATTGGTTTTTTGCTGCTGTTGTTTTTTTTAAAGATTTATTTATTTGAGAGAGAGAGAGCATGAGCAGGGGAAGGGGCAGAGGGAGAGGACAACCGGACCCCATCCTAAGCACAGAGCCCGATGCAGGTCTGGATCCCATGACACTAAGATCATGACCTGAGCCGAAATCAAGAGTTGTGCTTAACCGACGGAGCCACCAGATGGCCCCCATGACTACATTGTTGCAGTCGACCTGGTTAAGTTTACCACAACTATTGAGCCAATTTAGGCAACAGGAAATTAAAATTAAAGTTGATGACCAATAACCTCACTCACTCATTTAGGCCATGGACTAGGTGAAAAAGAGTGCCCAGAGGAGTACTGGGATTGGCCAGTTATTTGAATTCTCTATAATATAGTTTCTTTATCTCCAAAGTGAGATAATAAAAGTTTCTATTCCATTGGGTAGTTGTAAGGATTAAGTAAGTTAATCCCATCATTAGTGTACATGGATTTAGAATATGGATACTCAACCATGACTACACAGTAGAATCACCTGGGGAGCTCTCAAAAATACAATTCTGATTAGGAAATTGTGGCGAAGTTTTAAACTCTGATGGCATGGAGTTTCTTAAATTTCTCAGTCCTGTCTGAGGTCAGGCTTGTTCTTGGCTTTTAAGAAAGATAACACTGTGAAACAAACTGAGTGTTTTTGGAGTGGGGGGTGGGGTGGGAGGGATGGGGTGACTGGGTGATAGACACTGGGGAGGGTATGTGCTCTGTTAAGCGCTGTGAATTGTGCAGGACTGTTGAATCTCAGATCTGTACCTCTGAGACAAATAATGCAAGATATGTTAAGAAAAAAAAAAAGAAGAAGAAGGTAGCGGGAGGGGAGGAATGAAGCAGGGGAAATTGGAGGGGTGGACGAACCATGAGAGACGATGGACTCTGAAAAACAAACTGAGGGTTCTAGAGGGGAGGGGGGTGGGAGGATGGGTTGGCCTGGTGGTGGGTATTGAGGAGGGCACGTTCTGCATGGAGCACTGGGTGTTGTGCACGAACAATGAATCATGGAACACTTCATCTAGAACTAATGATGTAATGTATGGGGATTAACATAAGAATAAAAAAAAATAAAAAAAAAAAAAAGAAAGATAACACTGTGGACCGTTATTAAGTGGTCTTAACTGTAATTATTGAAAGGCTCCAAGAAAAAGAGTCCAGCCCATCATTAGTGTATATGGATTTAGAATATGGATACTCAACCACGACTACACAGTTTTTTCAGTCCTGTCTGAGGTCAGGCTTGTTCCTGGTTTTTAAGAAAGATAACACTGTGGACCGTTATTAAGTGGTCTTAAGTGTAATTATTGAAAGGCTCCAAGAAGAAGAGTCCAGCCCATCATTAGTGTATATGGATTTAGAATATGGATACTCAACCACAACTACACAGTAGAATCACCTGGAGAGCTCTCAAAAATACAAATGCCTGGGTCTCAATCTCACACTTCTAAAAATTTTGATTCAGTTGTTTTGGGGAGGGGGCCCCTGGCATCAGTATTTTTAAATTGATTCCTCAACTGTTTTTAATGTGTAGAATCACTAGTTTATAAGTAAAAGAAAAATCTTAAATTTATGCTGGATTACATTTTTAACTTTAAAGAATTAAGCAAATAAAAGTCAATAATTATATAATTCTATATAAAATAAGATACCGTATTGGTTCCTTAAGCCACCACTCAGAAAGAATTGTTTCAAGAATTTCAGGAGGTAATGGCTCATTTTCCATTAGATTTAATCTGATTGCTTCTTCTTCTTCTGTAAATTGTACATCTGGAGGCTAAAAACAAAAATCAGAAAACAAAAAAAAATTTAAACTCTGTATTAATAAATAATACTCTATTACATAGTTGATTAGGATAAGACCTTTTCTTCTTAGGTCATTTTTAATACTGCTGCTTGTTAACACTTTAAAACTTGAACTTTTTTCTTTAAATCAATATTTAATATGGCTTAAAATATTAAATTATATATTATAGCTAAGAGGAGTTACTAATGATTAGCATAGCTGATTTTCAAACATGGCCTCAGGGTATCTGTTATCACTTTTTGCTAAGAAATTGTTCAATCTATATCACACACCCATAAGGCTTAACTAATTTTTGTCATTTATCTTATAATTCTTCAACCTAGATCCTAATTAAAGGATGGGCCAGCCAGGCAGTCTTCTGGAATATAATCTATACCTGGGTTCATTTACAAGGGAGCATTTGAGAAGAAAAGGGTCTAACTATATCAGAAATGGTTAAAAATGTAGAATTAAGAACTTTCTCTTTTTTTAAAATTTTTTTTAAATGTTTTATTTATTTATTCATGAGAGCCAGAGAGAGAGAGAGAGAGAGAGGCAGAGGCAGAGGGAGAAGCAGGCTCCCCGCCCAGCAGGGAACCTGATGCGGGACTCGATCCCAGGACCCTGGGATCATGACCTGAGCCGAAGGCAGACGCTCAACCATCTGAGCCACCCAGGTGCCCCAGAACTTTCTCTTTACAATCCCAGAAAGAAACCATCTAAGAAATATATAAAATGTCTTACAATGCATCATCAGAATTTAATATTTTGAGATCTCTGCTGGTGCTGGAGCAGATTTTTATATTTGATAGAAAACAGAGAACACAATAAAGGAAAACCTTATAGTGTAGGTCAGACATATCAAATAACAGAGTCCCAAATAAATGTTAAGCAACAGTCTTGTCAGGGAAAGCTTTTTAGATTTTTATTGGAGTCATGTAAAACTTAGCATTTTGTATTCTAGATGAGCAGTAAGATATGTATTTAACAAATGGGGAGGATGACATATGGGGAGCTAATTTTTTTTCTTCTTTCCTAGAAACTTTAGTTTTATACTGCTTATATTCTATTTCCCAAAATTAATACCAGTAAGCATAATTATCTGCAAAGAGAATATTAATATAACTACCGGCTTCCTTGTATTTTCTTCTTCAATCTTGACTTTGGCCTGAATTGCAAGTTCTTCAAGTTCTTGTTTTGTAAACTGTTCTTCATCAGAATCTTCTTCAAATTCAGTTCCAATTTTCTTTTCGGTTTTGAGCATTAGTTTCTCTTGAAGAAATTCTTCAAACTGAATATGAAAAATGCCCCATTTTTCTGCTAATTGTCTTCCACAGATGGTTTTGCCAGAACCATGGGGGCCAATAAGGCATATTCTTACTGGAGGAGCCTGCCACAGGGGTGGGTTGGGGAAAGGTAGGGTAGGAGGAGAGTGAAGACAAGGAAGTTTTGAGTAATTTAGAAAACATAAGGCATGGGGTGCCTGGGTGGCTCAGTCGGTTAAGCGACTGCCTTCAGCTCAGGTCATGATCCCAGGGTCCTGGGATAGAGCCCCTGCTCAGCTGGAAGCCTGCTTCTCCCCCCTGCTTGTGTTCCCTCTCTCGCTGTCTCTCTCTGTCAATTAAATAAATAAATAAAATCTTTAGAAAACATAAGTCTTGTTAATTGCTCTCCCTAAAACTGAATTATCACTTCACAACACCAACAGTGTCAGAAGGCACAACCATACACATATTTTAGTAGTCCTCCTGGGCACCATATAAAAATTGAAGTTCATGAAAATAGCCCAAATTATTCAGAAGCGTTTAAATTGTGTTCTATATGTTCTGTTTAAGAAAGCATTGGAATTAGGGGCACTGGCTGGCTCAGTCAGTAGAACATGCAACCCTTGACCTCAGGGTTGTGAGTTCAAGCCCCAGGTTGGGTGTGGAGCCTACTTCATTGGAAAAAAAAAAAAAAAAAGGAAGGCATTGGTGTTCTTGGAAGTATAAGTGACAATGTATTGTGATTTGTATATTTTGATTTTGTAATCCCATGCTAGGGAATTATACTAATAAAACAATTCAAGAGAAACAAAGCATGACATGCCCAAAGATTTCCTAAGTACTATTTCATATCCACAATGACAAATCACACTATGAAAATACTGTGAAAAATGTCTAACAATTAGATGTTAAAATGGTACATCAAAATGATGAAGCATCATGAGGTCTATGTAGAAATATATAAGCTTTCATTGATATAATGTTAAGTGAAAAAGTAGATTATAAAATATTACATACACTGGAAAGAATATATATCCATGTGGAAGAAGGTGAAAGTAAAACAAAAAAAATGAAGGTTCTTGTCTAAAGCTGGTGTAATTATGTGTGTGCTTTATTTTTAAAATGGATAAAATATTACCACCATGTGTTCTTTTATTATGGTAGTAAAATATACATCACATAAAATTTACCATTTTAACCATTTTTTCAGTTTAAATTCAAATATTTATTTATTGAGATGGTATATTTAAATACCATAAAATCCACCCTTTTAATGTATACAATTCAGTAGTTTTGAGTATATTCATTTTAACCATTTTTAAGTGTATAAATCAATGGCAATAAGTATATTCACAATGTTGTGCAACCATCACCACTATCCATTTCCAGAACTTTTTCATCATCCCACACTGAAATCCTGTACCCATTAAACAATAACTCCATTCTCTTCCCTGCCTACCCCCAGCTCCTTGCAACCATTATTCTATTTTCTGTTCCTGTGAAATTGCCCACTTACACATCTGGCTCTTAATGTAGCAAGCAATAAATGTAGCTGTGTCTTTTTACTTCAGCTAAAAAGACAGATAGTATGTGTTGGTTTGACACAAGCCATTATTGCAGAAATCAAAAAAGATAATTATTTTACTTTATATTCCAAAAAGTTGCTCTTAGAACTTAGATATTTTCACCATATTGTTATATCAGATTGGGGACTTCACTATTAAGTAAAATGATGAATGTTGGCAGTAAGTCCTTGAAAAAGCACTCAGGAGCAATCATTAGGATTGGCTAGGAATATTGTTTTCACCTTTAATGGTTCTTTCTGAGCCACGTACTCCTCGGGATGCTCCAGAAACTTCTCTCTAGCTTCAGGACTTGAAAAATAGTAGATCTTTTCTCGATATTTAGCTGCTTCATCTGTGCTGCCTGGTTGTAGGATGAAGTTTTCTTTGAGAAACACTGGACAAAAGTGCTTTGTATCTCCCAAGTGCCTTCTCTTCTCCTTAATTCTATCTTCATTCTACAAATATTATTCAGTTTGGAGAACAGTATTAAAAGTATTTTGATGTAAGACTAAAAATTAAGTAAAAATAAATTAAAATAATGCATCTTGAGTAATATTGAAGCCATAACAAGATGTCTTTAAAACAATCCACAAAAGGCCAGTTCTTGTACTAATTTAATTAATTAAAACATCAGTTTCTCATATCCCTCTGAGTTCACATCTTGAATAATGTCTACTCCGTAACAGTATGTCTTTAAAACACTCAACAATTTTATGTGTACGCTTCCAGACCCTTTTCCAAAGTATATCCTACCAATATACATATAAAAATAGACACATATTTAGGCACAGACACAGTATTTTAAAAAATACCAATGGGATAATACTTTACAAGACTATCCTACAACAAGTCTCTTTTATTCCCCCCACACAAGATATAATGAACAACTTTCTGTAAAGGTGCAAACATGAGACAAATCTATACTTTTCTTGCACCACTCTTGTTTAATTTTTATATGAGAGTTATGCAAATTCCAAAAATGAGCAGGGAAGTATTGCTATTTTTTTATGATGTGGAAGACTTTTTTAAAAAGATTTTATTTATTTATTTATTTAGAGAGTGTAAGTGTGGGGAGGGGTGGCAGGAGAGGGAGAAAGAAAATCCCAAGCAGACTCTGCTCTGAGCATCATGTGATGCGGGACTTGATCTCATGACCCTGAGATCATGACCTGAGCTGAAATCAAGAATCTGACGCTTAACCAACTGAGCCACTCAGGTGCCCCTATGTGGAAGATTTTAAGCAACACAGGAATTAGGTAATCAACAAAGGTATATTAGAAATGATTTGTAATTCCCCTCTATCTTTTTTGTTTGTTCAGCTTTTATAGTTCTTCCTAAACAAATTTTAGTAATTCATATTTTGAAAATCCTTTTTATCTTGACTTTAAAATTTATTAGTAGAAAGTTCCTATAATTTAAAACAACCCTGTTTTTAAAATTTGATTATATACCCATTTTTGTTTCAAATGTTATTTGCTTCTTTTTTTTACCTAATTAGACTTGTTAGAGGTTTGCCTATTTTATTACACTTGCCAGTGGACCAACTTTTCATTTTTTGAAATTAGGTTTACTGTTTTTATTTTGTATTCTTTTCCTGTTTTGTTAATTTTTGCCTTTATTCTCCTTTCTACATTCTTTTGTCTTTTTTGTGCTTTTTTCCCAGATTCTGGAGTTGAATGCTTAATTAATTTTTCCTGCTAATAAGCTCACTTCAGGTAGGGTTGCCAGACTTAAAAAGTAAGAATGTGGTTTCCAATTATATTTGAATTTCAGATAGCAAATAATTTTTTAGTATAAACTTGTACCATACATAGAAATTATTCTTTTATCTGAAATTCAAATATAACTGGGTATCGTGTTGTTTTTTTTTAATCTGGCAACTATAATTTCTACTTCTGCCATACTATAAAGCATTTATATGTGATTTTTCTTGAAGGGTTAGAAAATAGTATGTTTTTTTTATTTTGAAGCTGAAATGTATAATCTATCAAAATTAAGGATTTTGATAAAGCTGAAATAAGGTCATGTGACATTTAAAATTATGTTGAATTCTCAAATCTTTGAGATTTCTCAGTGCTCATCAAGGTAAGTGCACTCTTAATCTCCTTCAGTTATTTCCCCCATCCCCCCATCCTTCTTCTCTTTCCCACCTTCTCAGTCTTAAACAACTGCTGGGGTAGGCAGCAGGAATCCATCAACATCCGCAAGGAGGAAACTGTATGGCATTATTTACCACTATGGGCTAGATGAGTGCCTGGAGACAAACATCAGAGGGACCAGAGTATTAAGATGTCAAGTCCTAGGAGGAATTTTTTTGCAGGGATCTCTGGATTTCCTGGGGAATGTCAGCATCAGCAACTACCAGAGAAGTGCTTGTGGTCTCTCTGGCCCACAAAAGACCAAGAAGGAGGTGTATGGGTGGGAAGAGTCCTCCCCAGCCCTGCATCTGGGCAAGTATGAGAAATCCTAACCAGGCTTGTCTTAGGCCTTCAGCCTTATCTACCTCTATACTCCTGATCTGTGGGGAGAGACACCACTTTGCCTTTTATAATTTTTGAGAATGTTGTCACCTAAAGCACTCCAGCAATTGTCCTGAACCCCACTGAGAAAAAAAAAAGAAAAAAGAAAAAAGAAAACCACCACCCACGCAAGGGAGCCCAGCCAATTGAAAGATCAGTCAGATCAAATAGATCATAAAACTTTGCAGAAGAGATGGACAGAACCCAATCTCAGAGTAGGAAAATAATGAAGACATTAGTAGAAATTCAAGTAAACACTAGAAAGAGTTCACAGGCACCAACAAAATATGTAAATGGGCCTAAGAAGAGGGTGACCACTTGTAGTAGAATAATGGCCCCCCAAAGATTCCCCAGAACCTGTGAGTGGGTTACCTTATGTGTGTGATTAAGGATGTTGAGATGGGAAGCTCATCCAGCTGGACCCAATGTAATTAAAAGGTCCTTAGGAGGGAGGCAAGAAAGTCAAAAGCAAAAGAAGAGATGAGATGATGGAGAGCAAAAGCTGAAGTAATGTGCTTTGAAGATGGAGGAAAAGGCCATAAACCAAAGAATGCAGGTGGCCTCCAGAAGCTGGAAAAAACAGGAAAAGTCGTCTCCTCTAGCAGAAGGAACATAGCTCATACTGATTTTAGCCCTTAAGATTCATTTCAGAGAACTGATCTTGAGAACTATATGATAATTTGATTGTTTTAAGCCACTAACTTTGTGGTAATCTGTTACAATAGCAATAGGACCCCAACGAATGTCTTAAGTGAAAAGACTGAATGGAAGACACATCTACAAATACATGAACAAAAGAGTAAAGAGATGGAGAATTTGAGGGAAAAGATAAAGATATTTGGAGGATAGATCCAAGAGACCTAATTAGTATTGAGTATTATAGAAGGAAAAAAGAAGAGATGGAAAAGAGACCAGAATTATTTTCCCACAGATACAGAAAGACATAACATACCGATTTAAGGGCACCCCAAGTATAGGCAAGATTGATGAGAAAGACAAACACTTGGGCATATCTTGGTATGATTCCTGAATTCTGGAGTGGCATTAGAACTGTTGTTTCTTTTTGTACTTTCTGTTTGGCAAAAAGGAAATATCTTTGTTGTTGATTTTTCCTATTGTAAAAATGATACATTTCTAATGTTAAAAAATCAGATAATACAGATAAGCACTTAAAAAGTAAAAATTACTTTTAAGTCCATCACTCAGAGATAACCACCATTAATACCTTAAGCAGCTTGACTGAGGTATGACTGATGTTAAAACAGTGTACGTATTTACAGTATAAAATTTGGTAAGTTTTGACACAAGTATTCATTTGTGAATTCACCACAACCAAGATAATGAACATATTCATGAATACCAACATTTTGCTCACACTTCTTTGTAAAATCTCTCCTTCCTGCTCCTATTTGCCTCTTACTTGCCCCATCCCCAGGCAAACACCATTCTGTTTTCTAGCCTTATAACTAGTTTACATTTTCTAAATTTTTATATAAATGGAATCGTACAGGATATATTCTTTTTTGCCTGGCTTCTTTCTCTTAGCATAATTATCTTGAGATTCATCCAGGTTATTGCATGCTGATTAGAAGGCTGGAAATTTTAGTGCCACCCTCAGCCTTCTGAGGTGGGGTCAGGGAAAGGGGCTGGAAGTTGAATCAGCGAATGGCCAATGACTTAGTCAATCATGACTGTGTAATAAAGCCTCCATAAAAACCTAAGAGGACAGCTTTTTGGTCTTTTCTTTTAGAAGAGCTTCCATGTGCCACCAAGCAGGGCCCAAAGCTCCACAAAGACAGAAGTTTCTTTGTTCAGGACCTTGTCCTATGTATGGCTTTATCTGGCTGTTGATTAGCATTCTTTATCATACCCTTTAATAAGCTGGTAAATGTAGGTAAATGTTTTCCTGAATTCTGTGTGCTGTTTTAGCAAATTAATTGAACCAATGGAGGAGATTATTGGAATCCCTAATCTGTAGCCAATCAGTCAGAAGCACAGGAAACAACCTGGGGCTGAGGTAGGGAGTAGGGGAGCAGTCCTTTAGGACTGAACCCTTAACCTGTGGAATCTGATGCTATCTCCAGGTCAGATAAGCATCAGAATTGAATTGAATTCTCAGACTCCCTGCTGGTGTCATCTTCTGGAATTGCTTGGTGTTGTGTTTGGGAGAACCTCCTCCCATGTTGGAATTAGGTCTAGGAAACTTGAAAGAATTGATAAGGCCCCAAATTAAAAGAATCACTTTCTATTTTATTACTGATAGATACCTGAAGTGGGTGGCTATCAAATGAGAATGGTTATCAAAATTCTGGTGCTAAGGGAGTAGAGTAGTGCCTGAGAATGACCTGTTCCTTTTGCTAATACTGCTCCTTATTATCATGCAAGCAGCCTCCCAAAGAGGCCATTGCTATCTGTATCTTACGTCCCTTAAATATTTCTGTCTCTAATACCTATAGATGTTCCCATGGAAAAAAATTTAAAAGATTTCCCTTTTCTTTTTTCATGGGTGTAATATATTGCCTAAGGAGCCCTGGCATTTCAGGGGTCAAGTGAAGCTGGGTGGAGGCCAAGTGTGTTGAAAAATTTATAAAATCATTTATTTATAAAATTGAGGATGCCTGCTTGTTTTCTTGGGGTCCAAAAGTGCTAGTTACCATCTTTGTGCATCTGGATATATGCACTTTCAGTGATGTGACCAATGTGAATGAGCAATAATAAAGAAGTCATACCTCTTCCTCTTCCTCCTCTTCCTCTTCTAGCTCCTCATCAACTTCAGCTTCTGCCTGATAGTCTTCTGTTTCTTCATCATAATCTTCCATAGTTAACTCCCATGCAACATACTGGAAGGGTTCTGTAAGAAAAAAAAGAAGTAACTTTTGGGAAGATATTTTTAGGATAAAAGGATATTAGCATATTATAGTAGTCAAAGATTAGGAAGAGTGATTATAATGACTGATCTCTTAGTTTAATGTGTATGCAAACAGGTCTTCACAAATTCTTTAAGTGACAACTGGCTGGTTTGGCCAGTGCTCTTTGTGCCCTGTGCTGTTCTGATTAGCAGATTTTTTTTTTTTTAAGATTTTATTTATTTTTTGCCAGAGAGAGACACAGAGAGAGAGGGAACACAAGCCGGGGGAGTGGGAGAAGGAGAAGCAGGCTCTCCACTGAGCAGGGAGCCCGATGCGGGGCTCAATCCCAGGATCCAGGTATCATGACTGAGCCAAAGGCAGACGCTTAATGACTGAGCCACCCATGTGTCCCCTGATTAGCAGATTTAAATATTTGAAATATCAACCCTGAATATACTGGATGCTTTACTTCATAAACCATCAAGAAGGGCTTTAAACTTTCACAGTGCTTTTAATAATATTACCTGTTCTTGACAATAAATGTTAAGATTACAGCTCTTACTTTCCATAGTCTCAACTACTTTTTGAAGTAGTTCCTCTGGAGTTTTGTCAGCAATCTCCAAGTTTAAAATTTGAACGAAAGACTCATTGATTGTTGCTTCCAGATGTTTCCACATGTAGTTGAAATGTTTAATCTTCTCTTTAATTGGCTCCATTTCAGGAACATCAGGATAAGCATCTTCTGGAAACTCAGGGAGTACAACTTTTGAGGTAAAGGTTAGAGGAAAGAAAAAAGAGTCTTAAAATATTGTATCTTTAGCCATATTGTCAAAATAATTTATACTTTATAGTATTTTAAAAACATTTGAAAGAAATACATTTGTTTTCTAGGTAATAATATAAATTCATATTTTAATTTGTGCTTTGTTCCTCGTATTGGCTTAGATGAATTATTATCTACTAATAAAATCAAAATCAGGGATAATTAATAAGAATTTTTTGTATGGCAACTTTAACTGTTAATAAAATGTATACAATAAAATTTGATGAAAAACAGTACTATACGCTGGCTACACACATTTTTAATGTAATAAGCTAAATTAATGCATATGAGCTGGCATACAACATAGAAAGAAATAGGTAGGAAGTTGGTACTATGCCTAAGATAAGGGACTGGACCCTTTCTAAAAGAATATGAAAAGTATTTTCACACACTAACTACTTTTATAATCTAACCTGTTTCAGATAATTCTTTAGTTTCCAGGCCCTCTTTGGATCCTTTTGAAATTTCTGTTCCAACTGTAGTATCCTCAGGAGGCTCAAATACTTAAAAAAGAAATCTAATAGTTAGTGTTTGAATTTTAAAACATTATTCCTTTATGAAATTTTTGGCACAAAGAAAATTTCAAAACACAGTTTAATTGTATATACTACATCTAAGTGAAAATACAGTTCCTGTTAGGTAAAGTATGGCATTAAATATTTAAGAATATAGGGCAGAAAATGAAGAATATTTAACAATATATAAAAAGACATGGACCAAAATAATTGACACATGGCACATATAAGTCTGATGGATAACTATTGTTAAATATCATTCAAACTTCTGTTCACATGGCATCAGACTAGCATTTCCTGGTATTTCTTTTAATTTCTTAAGATACCCATGAAAAACTCCAAAAGATCATAAAGTGGCAAGGAAAGACAATGATATATCAAAGTCTCAGCTGTGGGTGTAGGTGTGGCAAAACTCAGGAGAATCTCAACAATATCATTATTGAAGGTATAGAACAAACACTGTTTTCCTGGATGATGTAAGACATGCCTCACATGCGGATTCAGCATAGATGGTTCAGGGAAGGAAGAACTAATTATCTATCTTCTCACCCCATAGTCTTTCCTAGTTCTGAGACACAAATTTTGTGTAGAACAAATTTATATCTATATAATATTATATGAAAAATAATATATATTATATCTATCTATAGAATATATAATTATATCAATTATAATTAGAATAATATTCTATTAGAATATTCGAATAGAATAGTTTAAATAACATTAGAATAGATTCTAATTAATAGAATTAGAATATTCTAATAAATAGAATATTCTAATAAATAGAATATATAATTATATTTAATTAGATTTACATACATAGAATAATATATGATTAAATATAATATAATCTTATATTAATAATATAATAATCATATTTACATATCTAGAATAATAATATTCTAATATACTAACAATATAATTATATGTAACTATATTTACATATATATATATAACACTGTAACACTGGAAACTGTCTTCCAAGCTAAAGTAATAGTTGGGTCCTCTTTCTACAGAATTCTATAATTAATACTCAAAAGAGAGGATGTAGAAGAGAACAAGCCTTGGGCTGGTCTGGTGGTGACATACATAAGAGAGTATGGATCCAAAGATTTAGATGAAGAATTGCTTTTGAAAAAGATTTCTTATTTAAAACAGAGTAAATTTTAGAAAATACATGCTGGATGTACTCAAAAAGCACAGGAGGACAACATAGCCTATGAAATAGGAATCATGAAGCAGAAAGAGAGACCAACCTAAGATAAAGGTAGAAATACAAGAAAGCTAGTTGCAATTAGAAAACAATGGAAGGAAATCTAAAATGCAATAGCAGAATTCAAATATGTATCAGAAGAGAGGCAATAAGAAGCAGAAAATAAATCTCATATGGAGGATAACAGCTCTCCAAAGAATACAGAGAAAAAGAACAAAGAAATAAGAACTATCAGGGAAAAGGAGATTAATGTGGTTGAGAAACAAAAACTATCTAACCAAAAATAATAAAAAGTGATCCTGAAAAAGGAATCAAGCAATAAATGAAGATGCAATTGAAGAAAACCATTTTGAGCTAGACAAAGACTAGTAGGAAGATAAAAAGAGCTCACTGAATTCCAGGAAAAATTGCTCACATACTAGTAAAGTTAAAAAAAATAATAATGGTATTGAAGACTATCTTTTTTTTTTTTTTTTAAAGATTTTATTTATTTATTTGACAGAGAGAGACACAGCGAGAGAGGGAACACAAGCAGGGGGAGTGGGAGAGGGAGAAGCAGTCTCCCTGCAGAGCAGGGAGCCCGATGTGGGACTCGATCCCAGGACCCTGGGATCATGACCTGAGATGAAGGCAGTCGCTTAACCGACTGAGCCACCCAGGCGCCCTGAAGACTATCTTTTGAGCATCACTGAAGGAAAGAAAAAAGAACACAAATGAAGCAATATCAGATTTTTCCTTGTGAAGACAACAGTACAATCTCAACATGCAGAATTTTGAGAAGAGAAGGATATGACAGTAATTTAGTAGCATCTAAATTGTTTTTCATGTGTGAAAGCAACAGATTTACAAGAATGCACACAATATACCACCCTGGATGCTTAAAAAAATATTCAAAGATATAGGTCAGATGATTAAGAGAACTAAGAATCAAAACTAAAATCTCAGGAATGGAGAAACTGGAATCTGGGAGACATCCCAGTGGAGTTATCAACAATCCTAATCCCAAATAGCTGCAGAAATTCATGGCCAGTTCTAGTGGACTGGAAAGGACAGGCCTTTCCTAGTGGATGTGTCCACTAGTGGGCATTCAATGGTGTGGAGGAGTTGTGGCTCTTATAAAACTATCTGGAGGAAGTTTATCAACAATTTCAATCTGAACAGTCATAATCTATAAGAATAAATCTGTGGGAAGACTTAAGAAGTGTCCCAGAGAGGGGCGCCTGGGTGACTCAGTTGGTTAAGCAACTGCCTTCGGCTCAGGTCATGATCCTGGAGTCCCTGGATCGAGTCCCGCATCGGGCTGCCTGCTCGGCAGGGAGCCTGCTTCTCCCTCTGACCCTCCCCCCTCTCATGTGCTCTCTCTCTCTCATTCTGTCTCAAATAAATAAATAAAATCTTTAAAAAAAAAAAAAAGAAGTGTCCCAGATTAAAACTCTCTTAGGCTTGAATCCAGTCAAGTCAAAACAAAACAAAATACCATGCTTAGAAAAACTGAAAGGAAATATGTCAGAATATTAAATATTTATTGCCCTTTGCTGGCAGAACTATGTTCATTTTCTCCCATCTTTCTATTTGTATGAATTCTACATTTCCTATAATTAACATATCAGACTTGACTGGATATCTGAATGATTTTTATTTATTTATTTTTTAAAAGATTAAATGTATTTATTTTAGGGAAAGAGAGAGAGAGTGCATGCAAGTCTGAGCAGGGGTGGATGGGCAGAGGAGAGGGAGGGGGAGAGAGAATCTCAAGCAGACTCCATGCTGGGCACAGAGCACAATGTGTGGCTCCACCCCACAACACTGAGATCATGACCAGAACCGAAATCAAAGGTAGGATGCTTAAGAGACTGAGCTGCCCTGAATGATTTTTAAACACACAATTCAACATCAGTTACATCAGAACAAAGATCACTGTCTGATGGACATTTTCCAAATTTCAAGTTGTCTCTTTTCTATTTTCTATTCGTCTATTTCTTTATTCTATTCATCTATTTTCTATCAATTTATTGGTACCTGTGGATACACTGTGCAGCTGAGTCATCCTTGAGTTTATGTTCTCAGGGTCAGATTTTTTGTGAGTATAATACCGAGCTTTTTCTATGATTTGAGGTGACCACTTATAAAACTTTTTTTCAGCCTTAATTTTTTTTCCTATGACAGTTCTCAACTGTCAGCAAGTCTAAGAATCACCTGATGTGTTCATTAAGATGTAGGTTCCCAAACTCCATCCTAGACTTACTGAACCAGAACTTGGGTGGCTCAGGAGCCTTCCAAATAAGAAACATAGGTGATTTTTTTAAAGGTTTTATTTATTTGAGAGAGGGGGGGGAGCACACAAGCAGGGGGAGGGGCAGAGAGAGAGGGACAAGCAGACTCCCTCCTGATCGAGGAGCCCAACATGGGGCTTGATCCTGGAACCTCTGGATCATGACCTGAAGTCAGATGCTTAACAGACTGAGCCACCCAGGCGCCCCTAAGTGATTCTTTTTTAAAAATTTATATTTATTTAAATTCCAGTGTAGTTAACACAGTGTCGTATTAATTTGAGGTGAACAATATGGTGATTCAACAATTCCATACATTACTAAGTGCTCATCAAGATAATTGTGCTCTTTATCCCCTTCACCTATTTCCCCCATCCCCCTGCCCACTTGTCCTCTGGTAACCATCAGTTACTCTCTCTAGTGAAGAGCCTGTCCTCTCTTTTTTTTCCTCCTTTGTTCATTTGTTTTGTTTTTTAAATTCCACATACAAGTGAGATCATATGGTATTTGTCTTTGACTGGCTTATTCTATTAAGCATTATACCCTCTGGATCCAAATGGCAAAATTTCATTCTTTTTTTTTAGTGGCTGAATAATATTCCTGTGTGTGTGTGTGTGTGTGTGTATCACATGTTCTTTATCCATTCATCTATCAGCTGCTTCCATAACCTGATTATTGTAAATAATGCTGCAATAAACATAGGGGTGCATGTATCCTTTCAAATTAGTGTTTTTGTATTTTTTGGTAAATACCGAGTAGTGTGATTACTGGATCATAAGGTAGTTCTACTGCTAACTTTTTGAGGAACCTCCATACTGTTTTCCACGGTGGCTGCACCAGTTTGCATTCCTACCAACAGTGTATGAGGGTTTTTCTCCACATCCTTGCCAATGTTTGTTATTTCTTGTGTTGTTTGATTTTAGTCATTCTGACAGATGTGAGGTGGTATCTCATTGTGGTTTTGATTTGTATGTTCCTGATGATGAGTGATGTTGAGCATCTTTTCATGTATCTGTTGGCCATCAGAAACTTAGGTGATTTTGATGCAGATCATTTACTGTATATACAGTAGTCCCCTCACCCACAATTCTGCTTTCTGTGGTTTCAGTTAACCGCAGTCAGCCACAGTCCAGAAGCAGATGACAAGATGTCCGAAGGTCAACAGTAGCCTAATGGTTACGTCACAATACATACATCACTCACATCACTTCATCTCATCATGTTGGTATTTTATCATCTTACAGCATCACAAGAAGGGTGAGTACAGTACAATAAGATATTTTGAGAGAGAGACCACATTCATATCTTGATTTTGGACTTCCAGCCTTCAGAACTGTGAGAGAATAAATTTCTGCGGTTTGAAGCCACTAAGTTTATGGTAATTTGTTAATGGCAACCCTAGGAAACGAACACATTCCCCAACAGTCTAATTGAAAACAAGCATTGGAGAGCAATGTGGAATTTAGTGAAAATTTAGTAAGGGAGCAATGAAGGGGACTTTATAT